TTGCACTGAGGGATGGCGACTGACTGATGGCAATTGACTAATGGCTGATTTGATGGATGGATGAAGATTGATGGGCTGTGATTAATCAATAATGGTGCAAGATGTGGTTGATCAATGGCAAATGATTGATAGGATGTTGATGGATGGCGGTTGATTGATAGATAAATTAACGGTGATTGACAGATGTTGATTGTTAGATAAATTAATGGTGATTGATGGATGGTGTTTTAACGGTGATTGATGCATGTTGATTGACGGATAGTGATTGATTGACGGCGACTGATCGAAGGCGATTGATTGACGGCCATTGGTGGATGTTGATTAATTGATAATTTATAGTGACTGATTGATGGTGATTGGTGGAAGTTGATTGACGGATAGATAAATTGACGGTGATCGGTTGATGGGGATTCATAATCAGTGATTGATGGATAGAGATTTAACGGTCATTGATGGATGTTGATTGATTGATAGATTGACGGTGATTGATGGAATTTGATTGATTGATAGATAAATTGACAATGATTGGGTTGATGATGATTCATAATCAGTGATTGATAGATAGTGATTTAACGGTGATCGATGGGTGTTGATTTAATGGTCATCGATGGCTGTTGATTGATTGACAGATGATGGATGGTGACTGTTCAATAGCGATTGACAGTGGTTGATTGATTGACAGATAAATTGATGGTGATTGACTGACGGTGACTCATAACCAGTGATTGATGGATGGTGAATTAATGGTGATTGATGGATGGATGGATGTTGATGGACAGTGACTGATCGAGGGTGATTGACTGATGTTGATTGATAGATCGACAGGGATTGATGAATGGTGATTCATAATCTGTGACTGATGGATGATGACTTAACAGTGATTGATGGATGTTGATTTAATGTGATCAATGGATGGGTGCTGATGGACAGACTGATCGATGTTGAGTGATTGACAGTCATTGATTGATGCTGACTGATTGATAGATAAATTGATGAGGATTGACTGATTATGATTCATAATCAGTGACTCATAATCAGTGACTAATAGATCTATTTTAATGGTGATTGATGGATGTTGATTGATGGATGAATGTTGGACAGTGATCGACGTTGATTGATTGACAGTCATTGATTGATATTGATTGTTTGATAGATAAATTGATGGTGATTGATTGATTGTGATTCATAATCAGTGACTGATGGATGTTGATTTTAATGTTGATTAATGGATGGATGTTGATGGATGGTGATTGATGGATGGTGAATGGCGATTGACAGACAGTGATTGGTGGATGGTGATGCTAATGAAGGAGAGTTTATTGTATTAAACAGATGATTGGCATTTTACCCAGCTAAGAATTTTAAATTATGACATAAATAATAATGCAGTTTAGTTTTTTAAAAGGGGTTTTTTTTCCAGAACCATAAGTAAATTTTCTGACAATGCAAACCTTGCAACATTTGTAAACATATTTTCTAACATAACCTAACAGCCACATTTGTGAACATTCTGTGTTTGCTGACTGTAGCCAGTAATATGTACTCAATTTTGTGCATCATCTACATGAAACACAATTAACATATGTAGCAATGCTCAATGAAAGGTAAAAATTCTACTTTTAGTCTTATACCCATTTCACACTAGCAGAAAATATTACAACTTTTAACAATTATTAAC